GTGGCGATTTCGATACTGAGGACAAGGAGCGCTCCGGAAGACCAAAAACAATTGAGGACGCCGATCTGCAAGCGTTATTGGATGAAGATGATACGCAAACACAATATCAACTTGCGGAGGCATTAAACATGACTCGCCAAGCTATTTCCAAACGTTTACATGCTATGGGAAAAATTCAAAACGAAGAAAAATGGGTGCCGCATAAGTTGACTGAGAGACAGATGGAAAATCGAAGAGCCACTTCCGAAATTTTGCTTTTGCGGCATGAAAGAAAGAGTTTCCTGCATCGAATTGTTACTGGCGATGAGAAGTGGATATATTTCGAGAATCCCAAACGCAAAAGGTCGTGGCTTTCACCTGTCGAAGCATCAACATCGACGGCACGGCCAAATCGCTTCGGAAAGAAGACAATGCTCTGCGTTTGGTGGGAAACCAGAAAGGAATCGTGTACTATGAGCTGCTAAAACCGGGAGAAACTGTCAATGGACATCGCTACCGACAACAACTGATCAATTTGAACCATGCATTGCTCGAAAAACAGCCAGAATGGGACACGAGACATAAACGAGTGATATTGCAGCACGAGAACGCTCCATGCCATCACACTTCCATCGTCCAGGATACCATCAAGACGCTGAAATGGGATCTGCTACCGCACCCGCCGTATTCGCTAGACCTGACCCCTTCCGATTATCACTTGTTCCGGTCGATGGCGCATGGCTTGGCTGGGTAACACTTGGCCAATTTCGAAGAAGTGCAAAATTGGTTGGATGTGTGGTTTTGGTCCAAAGACGTATCGTTTTATCGTCGCGGTATTCATGTATTGCCAGAGAGATGGCAAAAATGTGTAGCTAGCGAGGGACGATACTTTGAATAAACCATTTTTTGTATTTCTCTTGAAATTTTCTATTTTTCGTTGATCAAAAAAACCCGGAAACTTAGTTGCGCACCTAGTATATACGGTGTCACAGACCACCAATACCATTCGATTTTTTCTAAACGCAACATTTTAGGGAAGAATGTTTCAGACAAAAGTTATATGGTTTCAAAGGGGACATATAATAACTATATCATTTTGTTTACAGATGACACTACTTTCGAGATATTCACTGATTATTATTTTTCTTAAACGGAAATCCCAATTTTTTATTACATCTTCTACCAATTAATTTGAATAACTTTTGTTTGAAACATTTTTTATTTGCCTAATATTTTTTGAGATATTTAAGAAAAACTTAATAACTTTTTCAACATTTAACTTATGATATCTCGCTAACTGTTCGTCGGAAGAAAAAATGGTGCCAGACTTTTTTATTCTACTTTGTCTCAGGAATGTATTGTTACAATAGCGTCCTGACTTTTGTTAATTTGATGCTTTTGAAATTTCCAAAAGTCGATAAATTAACAAAAGTTAAAGCTTTATTGTAACAATATATTCTTGAGACTAAATAGAGTAAAAAAGTCTAGTATCATTTTTTCTTTCCACAAATAGTTAGCAAGACATCGTAAATTAAATATTGAAAAAGTTACCGAACTTTCCTTAAATATCTAAAAAAATATTAGGCAAATAAAATAATGTTTTAGACAAAAGTTGTTAAAATTAATTTTTAACAACTTTGTCTAGGTAGGACTAGAATGGCCACTATATTCACCGGATTTAAATCTATGTGACTTCTTTCTTCGGGAGTACATTAAAGATAATTGCCGGAAATGCAAAAACGGTTATTTCTCTCAAGATTTCTCTCAAGATTCTCAGATTTAGTAGCAACCATTAAAAAGGTTGTCAATATTAAAGACTACACGTTAGAAAATGTTTTTACGAGTTTTCCTAAAAGAATGGAATTTCGTATAAATTCAGATCATGTGCATTTTGGAAATGTTTTTCATTAGCTTATTCGATCAATAGCATATTTTTCATCAGCAAAATAAACTGGTGTACTAACATTCTTTAAAATTATATTTATATCCATTAAGAACTGCAAACTTTCCTCTTTTCAATACAATTTTTGTTTTTATAATAATTGAATAGAGTGCTCTTGCCTGGGTGGCTACAATACTTTTCCAATCATCCATCTCGGCACGTGCTCATTTATCAGATTTCTGTCATTAATCACTCGATAACTGTTGTAAAATCGTAAAACAATATGGGACTTTTATGTTTGTCTTAAGGTGAAACATCTATCTAGGTTCCCGAAAAAAGCATAATTTTAATGATTTTTTACAGTCGCATATTAAATTTTGGTTTCAATGTTTCAAAAGTAGTGATTTCGATTTGAGTGACAAAGAACATACTGGTCAAGCAAAAGATTCGAAGATTCTGAATTGCAAGCATTATTGGAAGAAATCACCGTTCAAACGGAAAAATAATTGGTTGGACAACTCAACGTCAATAATTTCTAAAAGCCCACACGCCATGGGAAAAATTTAAAAGAAAGGCAAATGAGTTCCACATGAATTGAATGAAATTGACATTGTAAATCATTTCAATATCGCTATGTCTTTGCTTGCCAAACAGAAAAAAGAGTTTTTTGTCGCAAATTGTAACTGGAAATGGAAAGTGAATTTATTTTGATAATCCAAAGCGAAAAAATTATGGGTTGATCGAGGACAATCATCAACATCGATACCAAAACGGAACATTCACAATGACAAAGCAATGCTCTGTATTTGGTAGGAAGGTATGGTGGTGAATTTCTAAAACCGAATGAAACAACAACGAGCGATGCCAGCAACAATTGAACAAATTGAATGATGAATTGATGCGAAAAAGACCAGCGATAGTCAGCAATAGACGCAAAGTGATTCTTTTGTACGATGATGCTTGTCCACATGTTGCTTCAATCGTTAAATAAACATTGTTAGAGCTCGAATAGGAAATCCTTCCGCTCCCAGCTTCTCCTAGCACCATCTGATTACTATCTATTCCGATTGATGCAACTCGCTTTGGCAGATACACACTTCAATAATTACTAGAGATATGCGAATCAAGAATTTTTATGTCGAATCGAATCGAATCGAATCTCATTTTTTAAATTCGAATTCGAATCAAATCGAATCTATGAAATTTCATTCGAATTCGAATCAAATCGAATCGAACCATTAAAAAATTTAACATACGAGGGCAGTTTGATAAGTCAGTGACTTTTTGAATTTTCCGCGCAGTAACTTTAAATGCAGCACTGCTCCCGTCAACTGCCATCTATTAATAGACTACTGTACAAGTTTGGGCAAACTGCGCCATTTAGTTAGTGTTTGACAGCCATTGAAAGCAGACAACCTCGTGAATTTTAACGAAAATGGAAAAAAGTGAATTTCGTGTGCTGATTAAACATTATTTTTTGCGTAAAAAAACCATCACCGAAACCAAGGCAAAGCTTGATAAATACTATGGGGACTCTGCACCATCAATTTCAATGGTTAAGAAGTGGTTTACTGAGTTCCGTTGTGGTCGTACCAGCACAAGTGACGCCGAACGTTCAGGTCGCCCAAAAGAGGTCGTCACGCCAGAAATCATCGATAAAATCCATGGAATGATATTGGACGATCGGAGAATGAAAGTGCGTGAAGTGGCTGAGGTTGTAGGCATCTCAACTGAGCGGGTACATCACATTTTACATGAATATTTGGACATGAAAAAGCTATCCGCGCGATGGGTGCCGCGATTGCTCACACTCGACCATAAGCGCAACCGTGTGACCATTTCAAAGGAGTGTTTGGCGATGTTCAGCCGCAATCCGAACGAGTTTTTGCGCCGTTTCGTTACCGTAGACGAAACATGGATCCATCACACCACACCAGAGACCAAGGAACAATCAAGACAGTGGGTTTCTTCGGGTGAACGTGCACCAAAGAAGGCCAAGGTGGGTCTGTCGGCCAACAAGGTCATGGCCACAGTTTTTTGGGATGCACGCGGTATCATTCACATCGATTACCTTGAAAAGGGTAAAACGATCACCGGCGAATATTATTCAGAGCTTTTGGACAGATTCGATATTGATTTGAAGCAAAAACGACCGCAGTTGGCGAAGAAAAAAGTGCTGTTCCATCAGGACAATGCACGGGTGCACACGTGTGTAGTCACCATGGCAAAAATCCATAAATTGGGCTACGAACTGCTACCCCATGCAGCATATTCGCCAGATTTAGCCCCCTGCGACTATTTCCTGTTTCCAAACCTGAAGAAATGGCTGGGCGGTAAGAGATTTGGGTCGAATGAAGAGGTCATCACTGAAACAAACGCCTATTTTGAGGGCCTTGAGAAAACCTATTATTTGGAAGAAATAAAAAAATTGGAAAAACGGTGGACTAAATGTATCGAGCTAAAAGGAGACTACGTTGAGAAATAAAACGCTTATTTGCCGAAAAAAATATCTTTTATTAAAAAAGTCACTGACTTATCAAACTACCCTCGTATATTAAACGTGCAAATAATGATGGAAGATTTTAATATGAAAGGAAATATTAATATTGTAATATTATCTTAAAATAAAATATATATTTAAATATTTATAGTAATTTATAATTAAGTTATTAATTATAAGTTAGGTTAATTACGGTAATTAAACATTATTAATTAATAATTAATTAAAAATAAGTTAAGGGTTCAAATATACAGGCCCAGAGGGCCCGTTTTATAACTGATATGCACAAACGCTAATATATTTGATTCGTATTCGAATCTTCGCGATTCGAGATTTTCGGATTATTCGGATTCGAATCATAGGGATTCGGATTCGAATCGAATCGAATTCGAATAGTTCGCACATCTCTAATAATTACGAATATGTGTAAAAATGGATGTCCGATTGGATTACTTCGAAAGACAAATCGTTCTATCGTCGCGGAATCGCTACGTTGCCAAAAAGATAAGAAAAAGACGCAGCTAACGACGGAAGATATTTCAATTGATGTAAATTTAACCATTTCCTTAAAATAAAGATGAAAAAATTGACAAAATAAGACTAGAATTAATTTAACCTCCTAATATTTTACATCCCCTAATATATAAATTTCATCTGTTTATTTATATATACATCTTTAGAGCATGCTACGTGAACACGTATAAAGCTGTGATATAAAGGTATAAAATTACGGGTATATCTTACCGCATATTCAGTGCGTTTACTTGAATACCGCAGTGAGGTTTCCACATCGTGATATTCCGAGATTTCGCAATTTTTACATTTACATCGTGTTAGCCACCGCGCACGCGGTCTCGTAACAAACGCAACGTGCGTTTTTATTTCGCGCTTCAAAACGAGAGAAACGCAGAAATATTTTAAGAAAAGAAAAATATATTTTTTTTCTCCTTCTTTACTTTTCTCTCGCGTGTTCCTCTACTCTGAATATTATTTCTAGATATATTATATATTCACTTCTCCCGCAGTCGCTGCATCATTAGTGAGTTGCTTGGCTACAGGCAGCGGTCGATAATTTCGTGTAAATGTTGTAAGTGAGACCGAAAATGGAGCTAAGCCATTCGAGCAGATGCTGACCCACTGTTGTTGAAAGCCGCACGGTCGTTCCCGGCGTCACGATTTCCACTTCTGCTCTTGCATCCGACACTTCTTCATCCTGCAGCTCTAACAGTTTCAAGGATTGTACATCATTGAGCCGATCGTCGAACAGCGTTTTCGTCTGGTTGGAGCTCGTCAGACTTCTATTATTCGCGCTCACTTTAGTCGCTGATTTTACTTCGATGGACGGTTCCTTCTGGAGACTGTTTGTGTTCATCTTATTCTCCTCATCTTTTGGTACCGATAGCGATTTCACATGCTCCAGGAATGTGTTGTTGGGGTACTGGAGATCCGTATAGTTGTCCTGCTTGATTTGATTGATCCAGAACAGTCTAAAAGGCTGCAAGTCGGGACTGAGCGTGCCCTTTATCAGGTTTTTTTCCACGTGGCTGGTATTGTATTGACGGAGAACCAGGTCATAAGTGGTGCGTAATTTTCCTAGAAATTTGTCCACCAGCTGGTTCGTAATGTTGTTCGCTTGCTGACGATACGTTAACAGCTCCTCCACCGGGAACAGTTTCGTTATCTGCGGCTTGGGTTGCACTCTCGTGGCGAAGAGCTGCGTGTGAAAAGTTAGTAGAATTTTTTTGTTTGTTGTTTCCGTTGAATATTGAGTTTGCGTTACGTCATGGTTGTTGCTTTCATCGAATTGTATTATATTGTGCTTGTGTGTGTATGCAATGATGAAATCTATTAGATGTCGTGTCTAAATGCAATACTTTAAAGAGTTATATACAGTCAGTAAGGTCGAAAATATCGGTTTTTCAAAAATATTTTTTTCTGAAAATATATTATTTCAAGAATACTCTGTAAAAATTTCAAGTTCATTCGAGTAACATTCGCCGAGATATAGCCTGCTATGCATACGCTCCTCCGAGCGCTCGGAGAGCCATTGAAACATCTGCTCCGCCTTCCAACTCTATTGTGATTACCTGGGAATTCTCACTTATTTTACTTTTTTATTTTAAAGTATATGGGCCTGGAATAGACAACACTGTATAAGTTACAAAAAAATTAATACATGTTATTTACTTTTAAAACTTTAAACGCGTTTTTCTCAAAATGACATTTTTAAAGTCGGTGAGCAAGATATCTTAAAAATTACAGCACTGTTCACTCTGAAACTTTATGTACTTATTTTAGATATAAACATCTCGTGATTGATCGATGGATTTATTTTTCCGATAAATATTTTTTCGTTTTAAGATAAAAAATAAGCAATTTTTCTGATAAAAATCAAAATATTAATTTTAAAGAGTCGCCATTTTGTTATTAATCAATATTTTGCAAAACCGAACGATTAATCACTAGCTATTATCATATACTAATGAAATCTGTTTGTTTTAATTTCGGATGATTAGGCTTTCAGTTACGTTGCTCACCGCACATTTACATTTTTTAAAAGGCATCTGCGGAGATTGACTATTACGAGCTTATATATTAAAATTTTGATTTAAAAAAATTTTTGGACATTCTTAAAATTACTTTTTCAAATGTATGTATCTGTAAAAAATGAAAACCTCTCAGTTTAAAAAAAGAATAAAAAATCCCACTTTTTTTTCTCCTGACTATATATAACTCCTCAAGGCTTCTATTTTCTCGCTGCGGCCATCCTGATTTCCAACGTCAGAATTGAGAAGATACAATACATTTTAAAAGTTCTTGCAAAATACGTTGAAATAAATAGATATACTCATAGAACATATACACCTATATTACATCGAACAAGTCTGCAAAATAGCCCGAATATCTTATTTTTTTGCTCTAACAATCAATAATCGTAATCGTAAAATTGTAATCATGACAGAATCATGAGAACGAATATGTTAAAAGGGTAGACTACATCTCGTGTTCATTTTACACTACTTTATCGATTGTTGGAAAGCGAATGTAAAATGTTCGGATTACTTTCAAACTTTCTCGATCGATTGCAACTGTTATCTTATAGACATATATTTTTATTTCAACGTATTTGGTAAATATGCTTATAAAATGACAGCTGCATTAAATCTGCGCAAAACAGTTTGTGCGAATACTTTTCTTGCTCCAACAATCAATTTTTGAACGCATATTTTCTCGCTGCCGACATTATGAATCAAGAGGTCCACAGTGAATAGTCAGGAGCTTTGAAAGAGGAAAAGAAAAGAAGAGAATATAGGTTAGAGTTGGAAAATCGTTTAACAGTCGGGTGTAGTATTCTTCCCGTGAGGTGAATTTTATCGGACTGTGATGTTGTAACGTGGTGAGGACAGGTGATACAACACATAATCGTACCTTACGACATATCCCCGTTGAATCTACCGGCTTCGCACGGTAGTTTTCATTTTCACGAAAATTATAAGTCGCGCGGGTAATAACAGTTGCGATCGGTAATTTTTACGCTCTGATTAAGAATAAGCACTATTTATCGGTTAGAACCTCTCACTACGAGACGGTAATGATCACGTTTGAGATCGCGTGGGACGTTTTCTTTCTCGCGCGATTAAGACCTGAGAATCGCGGGTTGCTCGGCGAAATGAAACCCCGTCGCCGATAATCAAACAATGCGTTCATACAGTTTCCGGAAAATGTAAATTTCATGTCCATTGTATAAATTACCGTGAGAAATATTCTGTGATTGTGATTTGTCTCATTGAATACTCATTAAATACTTTTCTACTAAAAAAAAAATATTTTCTTTTTGCTGAAAGTTGACATGTTGTAGGGAAACAGGTTATGGTAGCGTTTATCCTGTGATTCTTGTATGCTGTACAGGGTAGGTCAAATAATTTGTTAGAAGCTATTTTCTCCGAGACTATTGGAGTATTATGGGCTTGAATTTTTTTTACATTAAATAGAACAGAGAGCCGACTATTTGACGTAAAATAATTTTTGATGGGGGTTTTTAAGGGATTAAAAGGGGACGGGCTTTTAACTCTTTAAAATAAAAAAAATATTTCAAATAAAAGTTACTAATTTTGATGACAGCTGTCCAAATAATAAAAAAATTTAATGTAAATTTAATGTAAAAAAAATTTAATGTAAAATTTATGTGAAAAATTTAATGTAAAAAGAAATTAAATCCATAACTTTAGTAGTTTCGGAGAAAATAGCTTATAAGTTATTTGGCTCACCCTGTACACTTGATGCGAGATACTATCGTGTCTCTTGGTTCGTTAAGCGAACCTTTGTCGAATGATGTAAAAATATATTGTCAAAGAAAAGTGACTTACGATCTGATTGCCTCTTTTACGCGTGGAATTTTTTCCGCAATCAACGCGCCTTCGCAAAGCAAATTGCAAAATCGTCAATATAATTTCAACGAAGATAACTATTAATGAGAATTACTTTCGATAGATCAAAAATATCAATAAGTATTTTAATAATTTAAGCAATTATTAATATTTAGATTTAAATAATCATTACTTAATCGAATTTAAATATTATTATTATTTATTTCTCTCAATTATTTTCAGAATGTCTTGTATTAAACTCTCAATTGATATTCGTGCGAAATACAAGCGCTTATTCGGACGCGAGGTCGCAGAGAGTAATTCGCAATCGCCGTGAATACTAATAACAACATGACAGATGAAGATGACCGATTGATCGGGATGGTACTTACGCAAAGAAGCAGGCAGTATCCCAGCAGCTTCATGCTTCGCGTGTGCTTCCCGGTGAACGACGGTTTACGATTTCTTCAGACGGCTTGAACGGCGATCGACTGAGGGCCTCCGCCGATTTCAAAACCCCTTTATACTAATGTGCGATCCAACAGCGTAAGAGGCATACACACACCACCGCGATCGATTGGTTTCGCGGGATCCACATATGCATTGTCTTTCGCCTGCGCCTCTGTCGCCGAGTTGCCCAACGGAATTGATAGTCGCGGCACGCATGGTTGCTTCGCGACCGGGAATCGCCTTCGCTCCTAACGCTACGCGCGTTGCTCGAGAGCGATATTCGCTCATCGATCATTTTTTCACGATGGGTCAAGGTGTTTCCGAAAAATGCGCTGTCGCCGCCGCCGCAGTCGTTTAAGATTTGTTCGTGTGAAGACTCGATTTGTCGTAACGCGACGAATCAGCGGACGGTATATTACATTCGCGGGTCGGTTTCTCCGAGTTTCTTCTTCGAGCACCAAACGTATCGGGAAACATAGAGCGATGGCTTCTCGTTCTTTGAGAATAAGCGCTTATTCTATTTGTTGTTTTCATAGCGTGCGTGTGCCATTTCGATCGAGCGCTGTATATTTTAAGCGAATGTCACGATCGATTGTCGAGCAACGTCATCGTGCTAAAATAAATCAATTATGTCTTACGGTAAATATACAAAGTTGATTTTATTGAAGAGCTTGAGCATATGGACTTTTACTTGTGTTATGTTTTTCTAATTAATGGGAAGATACTGTGATTTATTTATATTTTCTCAGAAATAACTGAGGTATCATTTAGCGTGTGACATGACAATTTAGTTTTGTTCTTTTATCGACAATTTACTTTTGAAGAAGTCAATAATTGCACAGAACTAACAAACAGATGTCTGATATTGAATTATATCAATCTTTAAGATGTTGGTGAGTAAACTATTTGATCTGTCAATAGTAATTACGATGTTCCAGCATTTATTATGACTTTTTATTTTCTTCGAAACTTGTTATAACCGATAATGTATAAAATTTAGAGTAAGAATGTTTAAGACAAATATGGATCTACAGGGTGTCCTATTTTAAATGAGTCAGACAAGAATCTCGAAAAATATGAAAGATACTAAGAAACGTTTCGGATAAAAGTTGTATGGTTTCAAAGGGGACATAAAACAACTGTATCATTTTGATTACAGATGGCACCATTTTCGAGATATTCACTGATTATTACTTTTCTTAAATAGAAACCTAAATTTTTTCATGTCATATTTTTCTACCAATTAATTTGAACAACTTTTGTTTGAAACATTCTTTTTATTTACTTAATATCTTCCGAGATATTTAAGGAAAATTCGATAATATTTAATATTTAATATTTTTTAATATTTAACTTACTTAATAATCTCACTAACTAACTAACTAAGTTTATTAACTTACCAACTTTGGAAATTTCAAAATCATGAAATTAACAACAGTCAGGACGCTATTGTAATAATATATTCTTGAGACCAAATAGAGTAAAAAACTCTCGTACCACACAAATAGTTAGCAAGTTTTCATCTCTAAATATCTCTAAATATCTCAAAAGATATTAAGTAAATAAAAAAATATTTCAGACAAAAGTTGTTAAAATTAATTGGTAGAAAAAAATGATAAAAAATTTGGGTTTCTATTTAAGAAAAGTAATGATCAGTGAATATCTCAAAAGTGGCTCCATTTGTAAGCAAAATGATATAGTTATTTTATGTCCCCTTTGAAACCATACAACTTTTGTCTGAAATGTTTCTTAATATCTTTTATATTTTTCGAGATTGATTTATCTAAAATGGGACACCCTGTATATCAGCTGCTTTATCAAGAAAAATGAATATAATTGTCATAAACTGGAAACATCAATTGCTATTAATTGAAATATTCACCTTAGGAAGAAAGAGAAACTCGCACGGTATGGTGGAGATTCCTCTTTCCGTCGCTTCTGTTACGATCAGGACGCTTGGTTTATTTAACAAAAGAGTTTATCTGTGGGTAACAGAATGTATACACGAAAGTAAAATATATATGTATATATATTTATGCAGTGTAAATTTACAATAAGAAGCCCAACGGGCGCACAATGAGCAAGTTTTCATCTAGATCATTGGCGGTCACGATGGAATTACGCTCGAGTAACTTTATAATTTCTTCATATAAGATCATCGTCTTTTCTCCTAGCTATGATTTTTTTCCTCTCGTCTTTATCTTCTCTCTAGTTGAGGAGATCCGATCGAGTCGGATCGGATCGTCGTGCTATCATTATCCTTCAGCACTCAAACGTAAGTATCGTTATGGTGCAAAATGTCATTTCGTGTGTAAGTATTGTCGAATAATGAAGAAATGAAATGTTCTCAAATAAGGGTAACTAATCCCTTTTTCATGAAAAACGAATTTCAAAATTGTGAATATAATTGCAGCAATGACGTGGAAATGCGACGTTGGAAAAAGGAGGAATAGAACGATAGCCTCCTACAAAACGAAATTTCGGTCGAATCGTAAGATCAAAGGACTTTTTGGATGCCCGAAAAAATAGGCTATATCCAGGAATTTTTCTGAAAAAGTTGCGCAGCACATTAATTGTATGTATGTATGCATAACTTGGCACGGTTATTATATAAGTAGGAATATTAAAAAATAATGTTTATTGTGAAATTTTTATTTTGTCCAAAGCTACATTTTTCCACATTAACGCATTTTTTTCTAAAATTATACTTTCAAAATCAGTGTGCAAGATTCCTCGAAGACTGTTGAATCGATTTATTTTTTAAACTTTTTATATATCTTTAATCTATATATGTATACTGAAGACATAAATCTTGGATTTTTTGAAATTTAAAATTTAATGTTTTTTATTATATGTGAAATTTATTTTCCTCGGCGAGAAAAATACAATTTCCATTTTGCATTGATTCCATTTTGTTAATTTTCAACCTTTTGTAAAGTATATGAAATACATGGCTTTGATACACGTATATTGAAAATATGTAAAAGAATTTAAAGAGTCGATCGTTTCTTAATAGTCCTTGAGGAATTTTGCACGTCAATTTCGAATACATGATTTCGAAAAAAGCGTGTTTAAAGTTATAAAGATATGAAATTCCTAAGTCATTACTAAGGATATTTCAATATTCCCTTAAATTTATATATAATAAGTGCACAATTATATATAAATTATATAATAAATTATATAATTTATATATAATTGTGCGTACATCGATACATTGCATTTTTCCAGAAGAAATTCCTTAATATATTTTTCGGGCATCTGAACGTAAAAGACTCCTTAACCCTTTCGCTTCGAGCGCCGGATATATCCGGCATCCACGCGACGACCTGTGAGCACGAGCGCCGGATATATCCGGCATCCATATGATGTGTATACAAGTGCCATCTGTAATTGATGATAAATTCTTCGTCATCGGCAGAATATTTTTTGTTGATTTTATTGACATATTGGATTAATCACATATTAAAACTATTCTTTGTTATTATGACATCAAAACGTATTACGTAATATACTTCAGACATCAAAACGATCGTTTATTGTTTCATTCCAAAAAATCTATCGAATTCATTCGAAAGTGAAATGATATTTAATATACGTTTTTTTAGAGATTTAATATATTAACTAATTATACATTAACTAATTTGCGTTACATTATTAATTATATTAAACATTTAATCGTAAAGTCTTGTAAATATATAAATACCTAAAAATATGTAAAGTGTAATTGGTCTAATGTTTTTAGAATAACTAATATAATTTTGTATAAGTCTTTTCATATTAAAAATATAAACTATACTTGTTATATTAGAGCAACGATTGTTCTATTAAGCACAGTTGTTATTTAAGACTTAGAAAAGCGTATATACAAAAACCACGCGCACTGTGCATATTTCTGGTGCGTGCTTCCGTTCAGTGACGGCATTTCGGCGGACTGGACTGCCGAAGCGAAAGGGTTAAATTGTATTACCAACCCAGGTTTGTATATGATAGAATCACCTTCTTGCGGTTTGGCGAACATCAGTATATAAAATATAAGTTGATCGCATGAGACATGACTGAGGAATGTATTAGCTCATGAATTCGCATGATCATTACGCATCAACTTGATAATGCAATGTGTAAGAGGAATTAGGCAGGGGGAGAGGAAGGGGAAAATAACTGAGACCTGATTAAAGTAGCCGTTTAAATTTTTTGCAAAAAAGTAAAAAAAATGATGTGTTTGGTTCTTAATGAAACGGCAATGTATTAAGTGTTTCGGTCAGCTTTGAAGGCTTAATATAGATGGCTATAGCTACAAATCTACTAGAGATATTTTGAAAATTGGTACGCCGTTTTAAAGCTTGGACATTTCTATAAATAATTTGACACTTGGCATGTGCATTCGTGAACATAATCACACTTCTTGTGCGATTGAAAATAGAGCATGGTAAAGAGCATTTCCGACTTTTACTACTTTATTGTTTCGATTCAAAGAAAACGGCTGAAGCCCATCGATTCATCTCACAATTGTCAGAGACTTATTCTGACTTTTCTCCATCGGTTAAAACATGCGAGTACTGATATTGATGATTTCGATTTGAAAAATAAAGAACGTTCAAGTCAACCGAAAAAGTTTGAAGATGCCGAATTGCAGGCATTATTGGATGAAAACTCAGCTCAAACGTTTCAAGAACTAGCTGAAGCATTAAATGTTAGTAAATCAACCGTTTCAGATCGTTTGCAATGGAAAAGATTAAAAAAGAAGGCAAATGGGTTTCACATACATTGTCTGAATTGGCTATTCAAAATCGTTTAACCATTTGCTTCATTACTTTCTTGTCACAAAAAGAAGCAATTCTTGTATCAAATTATAACTGGAAATGAAAAATGGATCTATTCTGATAATTCTAAGCATAAAAAGTCGTGGATAAGTCTAAACCAACCATCGACATCGACTCCGTAACATCCACGGAAGTAAAGTTTTATTGTACATTTAGTGGGACATGAAAGGCATTGTGTTTTATGAATAGCTACAACCGAATCAACAGTCACCGCTGTGCGTTATCAACAACAATTAGATTAGAATAATTTTTTTAGATTAGAATAAGTTTTAAACTAAAAAGTTCAGTAATAGCTTAAAGAAAACGCAAAATAATTTTGTTGCACGACGATGCTCGACTGCATGTTGCAAAAACAGTTAAGGATGTATTATCGGCACTTCAATGAGAAGTCCTACGCCATGTATTCACCAGACTGTGCACCTTCCGATTACCACTTATTTCGATCTATGTAGCACAGCCTTGCTGACAAGCACTTCAAATCATATGAAGAAATATAAAACTGGCTCGATGAGTGGATTGTTTCGGAAGACAAACATTTCTTTTATCGCGGAATTCACTTGTTGCTCGAAAAGTGGGAAAAAGTTATAGCTAACGATGGAAAATATTTTGAATAAAATATAATTTAACGTCTCTCAAAAATAAACGTATTTCTTTTGTTAAAAATCCCTCGAAACTAACCGGAACACCTAATACATGTGAAGAGAGAAGGACAGCATTCAAGGAAAAGAAAAATCACGAGACGTTTACGTTCGACAGCTTTACAAGGTGAGAGTGGAGCCAATGGAAGGTAAGAGGGAAATCGTTATATGTGCGCTGTGGCTATCAGATACTTAATTGTTTTAGATGTGCATGAGAAAACAATATTTTTTTTGCGACGAGTACTTCAAAAAATCGATCGCGAGTAACTAGAAACGAGTTATACGTGCGATAATAATTCTTTCGCATACAAGCTTGGATCGATAATTTAATTTAAAGGAATAAAATCAAATTTAAAAGGATTTTTTACCCTCAGACGTAAAAAAAAATTTATATATATATCTAGAAATTTTTACCGCGGACAACAAATAATAAAATAGTAAAATTTTCTGGAACGTGTTACCGTCTCGTTCTTTTATATGTATACATGCAGAATTTCTTCTCGCTTATATGCCTTGCTCGCTAATTCAGGAGTTTTGTGTGCCTGTGTATGTATGTAATCGCATTGTGCGCAGTTCGTATCGGTAGACTGAACAATTTGCTATCTCGTA